CTATTATTGTAAGCGATTTCAATTGAAGGCAGATGATTTTCCCAAGATCACCTGAAGTCAATAATACAAGCTCTCAACATATCTTCGAGAGTTTGGATTGTTCTTTCACTCTGCCCATTGGTTTGAGGATGATACTTCGTACTTAATCTGATTTAAGATCTCATGGCTCTTTGAAAACTCTCCCAAAACTTTGAGGTAAACCTACTGTCCCTATCTGAGATGATTGGTAATGGAACACCATGTCGAGTCACAATCTCTTCGATATAAATCTTTGCCAACATTTCTAATGGATAATTCTCTTTAATCGGTAGAAAGTGTGCAGATTCAGTTAAACAGTCTACAATAACCCATWTAGCATCATACCCTTTTGGAGTTCGCGATAGTTTCACGATAAAATCCATCGTGATATGATCTCATTTCCACACAAGAATTTYCCAAGATTGTAAATTCTCATATGGTCTTTGATGCTCGATCTTTACTTGCAGACACGTCAAACATCGTTCTACATATCTTGCGATATCTTTCTTCAATTCTGGCTACCAATAAAATGGTTTTAAATTTTTATACATTTTATTAGTACCTGGATGAATTGAATACCGTGATTTGTGACTCTCATCCAAAATTAGATCTTTCGCATTCCCAAAACTCGGTACCCAAATTATGTTCTAAAAACATAGAATTCTTTTGTCATTCTTTGTCATTCTTTGTCAGGGTCGATATTATTCTGCCAATTCTTTCGGCTTTGAAGTTTTTTTCTCTGGTAGCTTCATTTTGACATCTTAAAATTTCATCATAAAGATCCGGAATGAAATTTGTTCTCAACGCAATTGTTTTGATCGTACCACTTCTTTCTTTCTAGCTAAGAGCATCAACTACCACAGGCCTTTCCAGGATGATAAAGAATTTCACAATCATAGTCGTTAACCAATTCAATTAATCGTCGTTGTCGCATATTCAATTCTTTATGATTAAACAAGTGTTGAAGGATTTTATGATCCATGAAAATCCGACATTAATGATCAAAAAAGGTGGTTACTAAGTAGTTAAATCGTGGCATAAGTTTAATAAACAAGATTTCAAGGGYTAAAATGCTAATTCCAAAACCTCTTTAAAAACGCCCTGATCCTTTTTTTCTGACCCACCCCCCACTAGGTCATTTATTTGGTTTCCTTCACCCTGAGAGAGAAAGAAAGGGAGAAATTAATGAACGAGAAACGGAGAATCCTTCGGACCGATTCACATTCACTTGATAATATGGTAAGCAAATGTTCTCGATTTTCCTCTAAATTTCTTGCAATTGGTTTTTACTTTGCTTACTGAGATTTGATTTTGCATGACGTGCTTATCAACACACTATCTGATAGGGTCTTACTGAATCGGGAGTTTTCTATGATTTGAGTTACTGTAACATCGTAAACTTATTGATATGAATGTTGAACGTAATTCTAGCAGCATAATGTGAAGTGTATTACATTCAAGTGTTCTTGCTACTATGCATCAATACTYTATCATGGTGATATAGAACTTGTCCATCTCTATTTACAAATGGTATTTGGGAGTTTGGAATTCGAGATCTGCATATGGATCTTGAAATCCTTTAGTTTAAATTTTGATTTGGGATAATGTTTGTTGGAAACATCAGAAGTTGATACTGATGATTTAAGCTACTGGAAATCTTTTAGTTTATACATCAATAGAGGAAATGGATCCTGTAACTGACTCCTYGTTTGCTTTGTACAAAGTGCAATTTCATTTCTCTCTATGTTATTTCATATTGTTTTGTGTTATTTTAAATTACTTGTTATGATTCTATGTATGTAGTGTATTGGTTTTGATTTGAAATTCATAGTCTTCACTAAATGAAGGGTCACCGAATATCATGTGGATGGAATCCRGTTTGACCTTGCAAGTGTTCTTTGTCGAGGAACAGATAGCTCTCCACTTATCAAGGTAAGTTAGGCACTCCTATTTTAACAAGAAAAATTATATTTTTCCATTTCATTGATTTCGTATCCTTATGTAATTGTAGGGTAAGTCTCTACAACATACATATCAATGTCTGAGCTACTCTTCTTGTAGATCTGATTCTTTTGTACATTCCCCAWATAGAAGTTGTTGAAATCTTATAAACAAAAGAGAATAATTTGGGCATGCAAAATCCTTGGCCATTATTTTCACTCAAACAAGAAATGACCAACAATTGGATGGGATCCTTTCTTGTAAAAATGGAGGAGCTCCTAAAAATGGTATTTRTGTTATCTTGTACCTCTTTGGCTCTTTCTTTCTAGTATTTTGCATTTTTAGATTTATTAAGACTCATATTTTTTTTCATTGTTTTTTATAGCTTTAAATTTATTTTTGTTTCTACAACTTTCTGTAAGTCCATAGGTAAAGGAGCCTTTATAACGGGGCTTGGTTCTTGATAGTCCTTCTATAAGGGTTCGTSATCGATTACTAGAGGGTCGAAATAGGACTTGTCAAGCGCAAMTAGTTATGGAAATTTTATTGTGATCACTCCAGATCCAATAACAAGAGATATTGAGGCCTCCTTCACTATTTTGTACATACAAGTAGGTTTTCTATTAATTAACAATAGAGGTTGCTCTTTTGTATCCTTACTTGCTTTGCTTTGYAAGATGCATTGCCTTGTAATTTTATGTACTTTGGTTGTTATATTTTTTCGAGTTCAAGATTTAAGATGTTAATTAGAGTTATTTGGAACCACTAGATCAGAAATTAACTTATAATCTGGACTTCTGAAATGCATACAGAATAAACGTGTATATCTTTATATTAATATAGAAAAGGGATTACAATTTGGTACGTTTTTAAGTTTGAATCTTGATCTTCTAAATTGGTTTTTTCAGAGTACGAGTTCCAGACGCAATATGGGTTGATTGGGTGCAACAACATTGATATGCACCAACAAATGAGTGATTGCTTGCACTAGTGATGCGAGATTGGCAGTTTCTAGATATGTTTCCTAACTACATTTGAGCTAAAATCAAAATCAAAATATTTATGGATAATAATAGAGGTTACTTTTTAKAATATATCAGACAATGTTGCGGTATGGACAAATCGCCATCATCATCCTTAGGAACAACAACATTGAAGAAGAGATACATGAAAGACATTTAGAACACAACGATTTTGTTTTTATGATTATACCAATGAAATTAATATCTTTTAGTTTTATTGCAATAACAATTATAATAGAAATTTGTCATAATTTTTTTCATATGTTTCTTCTTTAATGACCACTTTTTTTTATCACTAACCGCTATTAATATCAGTGCCACGTATTTGGTCACTAACGGACGTTTAACRKATGTTAACTGAGTCGTTRTCTTGAACCCAACTAGTAACCTACTCCGTGGTGGTCAGTAACTTTGGTCACTAATTGTGAAGTTAGTGACGACTTTAACCGGTTTAGTGACGATATTTAGTGYCCAAATTAGTCGTCACAAACACAYTGACCATTCTAGTTTTGTCACTAATTAGTGACCATTTTCGTATTTGGTCACTAATGCAAATTARTGATGGACTTCTGGTGACGAAAAATGATCACCCAAAATTTGGTCACTAAATGGCCTTAGTGACCGATTTTATGTTGTTAGTGAACAAATTTTTTTCTATCATTAATTAGGAATTTTCTTGTAGTAAAGGTTGGTCAAAACTAACCACCCTTACAATGCAATTTATATAAATGGAAAGTGATAATGGTAAGTTGGCTTTATAGTTGGTGTGGCATTAGAATAAGTTGCTCTGTCACAAATGTGCCCAAACTTCATACATTTAATTCTTATACCTATATTTCATTTTAACATTTTATTATATAAAGAGTTATAAAAGTAAATTTGTAATATCTTATTTAATTTTRCTTTGCTTAAACCCTAGACTCTAGTTGTTGTCTTGTTGATGTTATTGGAAAACATTTACAGACTCAGTTAAAAAAACCAAAAGAATCCCTTAATCTAATGGAATAAAATTCTACTATAAACATATTAGACTCACGCCTAAGACGTAGTCTTGTCTCTTTTTATTTGAAAGGTGGATTCAATTTGAAGAAAAAAAATGTATTTCATTTCTCAAATCGACATAATTGACTCTTTCTCAAGTCGGACCACATTGACTTTTCCACAAGGTCAAACCATGACTTTGTGAGCTTTTGATCCATCTTAAAGATGAACCCACAAGATGGTGAACCCGCTCAGCAAATTTCCTGGGTCCGCCAATGAGTGTRCATAGTAAATTTGCAAGAAAGGTGACACACCCACTATAACAAAATCGGGTTTATATGGCACTCCCAATTTCTAAGGGTATTAATAGACCTATTTATAAGACTTAGTTTATAGAACCAAAAAAATAAAGCGTCCTATCTAAAGGCGTTGTAATAAGTTTATATGACRTTTTTTGATGTCGTAATAAGTTTTTTAAGACACTTTTAATATAAATCGTCTCATTAGCAACTTTATAAGACACTATATAAAAAACTGYCATATAAAAACAAATGTCCTATAAACAATTGAGTTTATAGGACACTTTCTCAAAAGTGTCCTATAAAGTTGCTAATGCGACACTTTGTATTAAAAATGTCCTAAAAAACTTGTTAAGACGCCCAAAAGCGTCGTATAAACTTATTACAATATCTTTAGATATGACGCTTTATACTTTGATCCTATAAATTAAGTCYTATAAAGCGATCTACTGAAACGCTTAAAGATTGAGGGTATCCCATAAACCCAATTTTGTTGTAGTAGTGACACAACGTTTATTGTTACGATGGATTTAAATCTACAATTATTTGTTATAATTTTAACGAAAACTTTTGTTGTTGATGATTAATACCATTATAAAAGTAACATTAATCARAATAAATGTCAAATCTTAACCACAATATTCACATAAACCTTTGGGGGAAAAGAGCTTTATGGATAGAATACTACATAAGTTRWAACACTTRCAYCTGATACTCATAAATATTCTACAGTTAGGCATTAATTACAATATGTTGAAATCTTTTGGGAAACATCATGCATYGTAGGCCTCTTTTCAGGGTTGGCATTCAAGCATGCTATTGCCAACATGATAATGGCTATCAGCACCTCCTTCATTTCTAGCAAAGGTGAGGAAAGACGATGATCCACAAAGTCTTTTAACTTCATCTTCTCATATGAGAGAGAGGTAACGATATCACCCGGATGCTCGCCTTTGATCACTTCAAGCGTAAGTACCCCGAAGCTATATACGTCACACTTTGTAGTCACTTTCATCGTATAAGCAAGTTCTGAAAGAAAAAATGAAGTGTATTTGTGGCAAGTTCTTGAGTATATATATATATATATATATATATATATGTATCCAAAAACAGAAGGAAGAATTTGTAACCTGGTGCAAGGTATCCAAATGTTCCGGCAGGAGCACTCTCGTTCGATGAATTTGGATACAAAATCTTGGATGTRCCGAAGTCTGAAATGCAAGCCTCGTTGTCTAAGTCGAGGAGAATRTTTTTGCTTGATATGTCTCGATGAACTATAGGGGTTGAGCAATCATGATGCATATATGATAAAGCATGAGCCACACCTTTGATTATATTCACTCTCTTGGTCCAATCCAATGTTCTTGCAACTTCGTTTCTCAAGATTTCGAATAGATTACCTCTTTCTAGGTACTCATAAACTAAAAATGAGTGTCTTTTATGTGAACAATACCCGTACAGCTTCACAATGTTCCGGTGCCTTATTTCAGTCAACGCCTTCACCTCGTTTAGAAAACTATCGCGATCAACCATATCGGCTGATGAATGAAGTTTCTTTACAGCAACGGTCTCGTTTGATGCCAACTTTGCTTTGTACACACTTCCACATCTCCCCTTTCCAATACAAAATGCTTCATTGAACTCTTGTGTCACCTTTAGGATTTCATCATATTTTCCCTTTCCATTGAAAGCCCATATGGAAAAGAATTCCATGTCATGCTCCTCTACCCGTTGGTTTTTCGATGACATYCTCTTYCTTCGATGAGAATAGATGACCATTCCAACGAATATACCAAGTAAAAGTGCTCCGAGAAGAGGAAGTGAAACAATGAGTGCAAGTTTCCGGCCCTTTCTTGTATTACGCCCTTCCGCTATCAAATCATTGTCGCATTGTTGTAAMCCSGTAATGTTACCACATAAACCTTGGTTCCCTTGTAAGCCTTGTAGCGAAATATTCAWAAAGCCTTTGCTATTAGGAATGGGACCTTGCAAGCGATTGTAGGATATGTCAATGCTCCACAAAGCGTTCATTGCTTCCATGGACTTTGGGATAGAGCCAGATAGTTGATTGTGAGAGAGATTTAGCTTCTCCAAACTACTCAAACTTSCTATTTGTGTTGGTATTGTTGATGTGAGTGAATTGTTGCTTAGATCAAGATCTGACAAGTGAAACAATCGACCTAATTGGATTGGAATTTCATGAACAAATCTGTTGTCCCCCAAGTACAACTGAAAGAGATTTAAACARTTCCCCAAAGTGTAAGGGATGGACCCATCGAAATTATTCTTCGACACGTCCAAGAGAGAGAGCTCCGTAAGTGATCCGAGTTCTAGGGGTAGGGCACCCGAAAGCTGGTTGTCTCGCAAAACCAGCGTTGCCAAACGATTCATCCTTCCGAACTCCATTGGGATCTTTCCAACCAGATGATTAAATGAAAGATTAAGCATAACWATTTGAGTAGAATTGCCAAGTGATGGAGGTAAGCTACCACTGATATTATTTCCTCCAACATGCAATGATGTTAGATTCTTGCACTTGCTCCAACTGTCAGAAAGTTCCCCATAMACCTTATTGTCACCGAGACTGATGAACTGAAGGTGAGGGTAGACACCAAATATTTCTGAAACATTTCCAGTGAGCTGGTTTCCATCTAATCGTACTCTAATTAGCGTTGAACAATTGAACAAGCTCCTGGGCATTGTTCCCGTCAACTTATTACGACTTGCAAGCAACAACTGTAATCTCCCTCCATTACATATTGTATCAGGTAAAGAACCTGAAAWTCTGTTTTCTGAAAGTTCTACTACAACCAACTTGAGATTTCCTAACTCTTCAGGAAGAGAACCAGAAAACTGGTTATTTCTAAGATGGAAACTCTCTAATTGTAGAAGGTTGCCAATTGACTTCGGAACGGAACCATTGAGCTGATTGTTACTTATTTGCAGATTGACWAGGGATGACATGTTTCCCAGATCTTCAGGAATGGGACCAGAAAGATTGTTGGAATAGAGACGCAGAAAGATAAGGGATTGAAGACGACACAGAGAATTCGGGATTGAACCCGTGAGACTATTGTTGTAAAGGTTTAGCAATTSAAGTGAACTCAAAACACCTATTTCTGGAGGAATAGAACCGTTTATCYGATTGYTAAACAGATTCAGTMTGATCAACTTGTTAAGCTTTCCAAGAGTGTCTGGAATAGGCCCKGTTAACAGGTTGTTCTCCAAATGAAGCCCAGTTAAATTTGTGAGGTTTCCTAACTCATAAGGAATGGAACCAAAGAGTTCGTTATCGTTGAGAAATAGATAACTAAGGTTGGTCAAGTTRCCCAGACAGAAAGGGATTTCACCACTAAGAGTATTCCCATACAAAGCAAGCCCAGAAAGAGACTTCATACGGCATATCTGGTGTGGRATTGAACCATTCAAGTACTGGTTATCAAACAAGTGAAGTGTCTCGAGATTCTCCAAGAGCCCAATTTCTGGAGGGATGATACTGGAAAACTGATTTCCGCTAAAATCAAGATAAACCAGTTTTGACAGGTTACTGATCCCWGGTGGGATGACCCCAGAAAAGTTGTTGAAACTTAGTTCGAAATGTGTGAGGTTGGGAAATGATGGAAACGAGAAGGTATTCAGTGTACCTGTTAAACTTGAAGATGAGAGGTTCAATCTCGTTATGCTTCCATCAGAATTGCAAGAAACACCGTACCAATAGCAAGGAGACGTAGATTGCATCGTTGGAGTCGAAGAACGGTTTTGAGTACTGTTTGGAAGAGAAGACATCCATGAAGGTAATACGGAGATGTTATTTTGCTGTTGCAGGCTTTCTTTCCATTTAAGAAGAGCAGTGACTTCACCATCAGAACCATAAGCAACAATTGGAGAAAGAGAGATTGTAGCAAGTACAAGAAGACATAACTGCATGAAAATGGCCATCTCCATATGTAAAGGTTCGTTCTTGTTGTGTTTTGATGTCTAAGACGAAAGTGTCAAAACAGTTCCGATTTATACAACCAATGGAGGAGTAGAAAAAGAAAATGCATAATACTTAGTTCATACAAACGTAATAATGATACTTTGATACATTAAAATATTCTGCTAACTTTGAATATGTTATTTTTCTATTCTTAATTTCTTTTTTTGTTATCCACCATTTGATACAACTTATTCATACTTCTTACGTATATCACATTTAGTTAATTTTCTGAATTTTCATATATATATATTCACATTTACTGAAGATATATACGAATGAGTTATATAGAGATTTGAATATATTGAAAATATGTGTATATGAATAGCATACGTGGTAGTGTAATTGTCTAATGTATATATTAATAGAAATTCGACAATCATATTAAATCCAATAAATAAAAGGATATCGGGTTGGGTTGGGTTCAAATAATAGTATTTCAATATCAACCCAATACCTACGATTTGAAAATTTTAAGGAAAATTGCACCAAAATGGAACCAACTTTCACTTAATTCCTATTTTGGGGAACCAACTTTTAAAATCATCATTTTGGGGAACCAACTTTTACCTAATTTCTATTTTGGGGAACCAACTTTCAAAATCGTCATTTTGAGAAACCAACTTGCACCTGATTCCTATTTTGAGGAACCAACTTGAAAAATAATTATAGAAAAATAACTGAAATTCGTTTTTTTCCAAAAATTAATGCAATAAAATCTATTTTTCATTTCAAATCTCGTTTTTTTAATTCAGATATTAAATTGAACATTTTAAGAAAAAAATCTAAATTACCACAATAAAAATTGATTTTTACTAATGCAAAAAATCAGTTTAATAGAAAAAAATTAATTGATGCAATAAAAAATAAATATTAAATATCACATTCAAGATTTTTATATCTAACCAATCTGTATCAATTAATTTTTTTCTATTAAATTAATTTTTTTGCATTAGTAAAAAAACAATTTTTATTGTAGTAATTTGATTTTTTTTTAAATGTCCAATTTGATATATGAATTAAAAAGAAACGAGATTTGAAATGAAAAATAAATTTTATTGCATTATTTTTTGGAAAGAAAACGAATTTTAGTTATTTTTCTATAATTATTTTGCAAGTTGGTTCCCCAAAATAGGAATCGGGTGCAAGTTGGTTCCCTAAAATGGCGATTTTGAAAGTTGGTTCCTCAAAATAGGAATCAGGTGCAAGTTGGTTCCCCAAAATGACGATTTTGAAAGTTGGTTCCCCAAAATAGGAATCAGGTGCAAGTTGGTTCCCCAAAATGACGATTTTGAAAGTTGGTTCCCCAAAATAGGAATTAGGTAAAAGTTGGTTCCATTTTGGTGCAATTTTCCCTACAACTCAATTAGACATTGAGTTGCTTCAGGTTGAATTATTTCGGGTTGGGTTAGATTGGTCGGGTTTTTAAGCATCCCTAACTATGACCTATTAACATATTTAAAAATAGTTGTATATAGCAATTAATTTGTAGTTTTAAGCTAATGTATTTTATAACTTATTTCTAAATAACCAACAGATATATACATACATATATATAGCAATGATCAAATGCAAACCACTTAATTTGTACAAGCCGTGCAAACCACCCTCATTCATCGATTTCATTGTTTAATCTTATGAAATTTTTTCATGAAATTGTTTAATCTTATGAAATTGTTTCATATAATACTTTTTTTGATKAAGTTGTTTCATATATGGTTATGAAATTGTTTCATATAATACTTAATGAAATTTTAATGAAACAGTTTCATGTATTTCTCTAAACTTAAAATAATGAAGATGATAATATTCATGATTAA